CCTCCCGTCGTGATAATCGTAAAAGTCTATCTGGGTCGTGTCATTTCCTCCAGCTAAATAAGTCCGAAAGATGCACCGTTCTCCGGGGAACACAGTCTCGCTCGATCAATGCTCGCTGACTAAACTATCTTATCGGGGAAGCTCATCAGACCGTCTAACATATATCAATGCTAGAGACTCGTCTCCGATCGATCCCGACGATTACGATCTGTTACGTCGACTGCTCCAATTATCCGTCAGAAACGGGTCTCTCAGAGCGGCGATTCTCCCTCTTCCTCGCGAAATGGAAGCGGCCAAATTTCGCGCGACCGATTTCGCGCGATCGCGTTATCGGCCCGCATCGATCGCGTCGCCTGCCGTGGCGCGAGGGCTGCAATTTCAGGCACTTTCGACGACAATTTCGACGGCACTTCGGCGCGAATCGAGGGAAACGCACTCACTCGCGGCCCGATGGTTCTTCGATCCTACGCGCGTACGTGCGTGCAAAAGTAACCCGAGACCACGCTGTGGGCGTTAGTCTCGCCGATAAGATAAAAATGCCAAATGGGCCGACATTCGTGTGTATAAACGTGTAAGTAGGGACTTGCGGAGGTTCGTCGGATTTTTAGCCGCGTTTCCCTCAACAGTGGCTCGGATCGGTCGAAAGAAGAGCGTTCGACCAAAGATTGAGAGTCGATACGCGTCGACGAACACGATATTATACTTCACTTTGTACGTAACCGGCCATCTTTTATTCATCGATGCACGGCGAGTGTATAACAGCCGCATTACGAGGCAATGGGAAATTATGAATGTTATTAGAGAAAGAGAGGGGGAGGGGCGAAAAGGAAGAAGAACAGTCGATGTAAACGGCGTCTAGTGATTAAATAAGCAAAGTAATTATCTACAAATGACATCTCTAAATGTTTTACTCTCCGATGAGGATGTCTATGTTTCAAATAAGAACTAAATGATTCTTATGTAATTCCTGATAATTTCTCTATGTAACGACGAGGTCAAAAGAAAGAGAGAGCGCGCATTTATCAGTTTGATGATTGGTCCGTCAAAATTGATATGTCATTTAGGTAGGTTGGCCCGCACAGTGCCGGATTTTCAGCGGAAATATTAAGTAGCCCTACGTAAGTTTATTATTTACTGAAAAAAAAAAAGAAACTTTCCTATAACTTCACTTGATTACCTAAGTAATGTTAATTTTGGGCGTGAAGACATATATAATATTACAAACACAGGGATATCATTTATTCGATATTTTTCTTATCAATGTTTCATTTATATGTCAGTTGAGCTAATAAAAGTACGCATATAATAAAACTCGTCATTTTGTTTTAAAAATATTGTTTTAAAAATATAATAGTTATGGGAAATTTACAATTTATACTAGTTTTCCATTAAAATTCTAAATATGATTTGGAAGAAATTAAAAATAGAAGATAAGAATATCACATCTTCGAGGAGCACGCAAAAAGTATCATGTTCAGTCTAGAAGCTTCCGAATGGTCAGTCGTCTTCTAATTGTACAGACGCGCAGATAGCATTTCTATCGATATACTAAATATGTAATATGTTAAGATTGCGATATGTTAAAATTCGAAAGGATTCCTAAGAAAATGGCTTGAGAGGCCAACTACCTGAACCGAGGGGAGGAGACCGAAGTCGCAAAGCACACGCGTGAGGTACGATCGATCGCGTCGTATTATGAATTTGCCGGTGAAACTTTTTCGCCGAGTCCTCCTCGCGAAAGCGATCGACGACGAGATAAACGAGAAGGTGGAGGAGGAAGAGGAGGGACAGAAGAGGACGACACTGAGGATGAGGGAGGCCCATGAAGTAACGCTCGCTCAATCTTCATTATATCGGACCGACGTTAATTCAAGCTGAATTAATGAGAGCACCAAAGCGGTCGTCGGATCCTGAAGTCGAAGGCTGCCATTGTCATAATCGTCGGACGCGGCCCGATGATATCGATCTCTTGACAGCGATGACGCAAGATTATACAACGTCATGTCGCGCCCTTATCGAAGACAATCGGGTGAAAACCGAATTGTGCGCTCTCACCGCTTCGCGCGCAGAGCGAGAAGCAGAAACGCGATTTCGCCGTGATAAACGGACACCTTACACCCGTGCATTATCCCGACGCTACGAATAATTTCGTCGTTCCTCGTCGAGGGCGCGCGCGCGCGCGATCGAATTTAAACGCGACGCGAGCCGCCCGATTAAATCAGAATCGCAAGGTTAGCCCGTTTATACACATCGGGCCGAGATCGCATCGCATTAGGCGCTCGTGAGCAAATTCTTCCGTCGATTAAGTTCTCCGAGCGTTTTCTGCACGAAAATAGTTCCCCCTCTCTCTCTCTCTCCCTCTCTTGGTGAATGCAGACGTCGGGTGTGAAATAACGCTGGATCGTTCAATTCCCAATTACGCCGACGCGAAGCGAAACTTCGAATCTGCATTAATAACCAACGGGGCGAGAGCGATTAGGAGAAAATTGCCAAGTAAAAGATCCTCGTCGTCCTCCTTCCTTCGCCCCGTCTTCCTCCGAAACGTCCTTCGCAACGAGCGCGCGGCCGGTAGTTAAACATTTTATCGCGACTGAAATTACATGAAAGGAGGGAATTAACGAATTATCGCGCGGCTCGTTTAGCCGTAATTATCGTGTGACAGCGTGCGCAACGTTTCTCGCCGATCCACCCGGCGCGGGTGGAGACACGTTCGTCGAGCGCACGTGGCGATGACTATTCTGGAATCACGCTGCAGTGGATAAAGATGCGCGTGTCGCGGATAAAGAATCAAGATACCTTATCGAGCATAGAGATCGGAGCAGGGAGGCGTGCGCGCCTGTGCGGGCCTTCGCACGATCGGCTCGAGAAAAGGCGCGACGTTCCAAAGAGGCGTTACGTGACTCGCGAGTATATCGAACGCCGATATCGACCGGATCCGAGGACTGAAGGAGGCCGTGAAAAGGCAGAGACATAGAGAACGGTTCTTGTTTACAAACAACGATAAAACAACGGCGGATTAAAGCGGCCGAAGCGCGCACGACGACTGTCTTGCCGACGAAAGATGAAGGGAAATCGGACTTCGGGCCTTATCTAATCTTGTTTGGCGCGGAGGACAGGAGGGGATCCCGCTTTAATTCATTGTAGTTCAATTGATGGGAATGCCGCGCGTGTGTCACCAACGAGGCGAAGTGATAAGGTGGTGGCGTAACGAGCTCGCCGGCACCGCCGGTGGACAGTGATATTCGAACGGTCCGTCTGTGCGCAGATTCGCGGCAATGTCAGCGCGCGAGCAAGCGGACTTAACACTACCGTGTGAATGGAAGGTAAGTGGGGAAAAGGAAGGAAAAAAAGACGCGGAAGGTGTGAGAGCGCACGAGCGGACCATTCTGGAAAGACGTCATTTCGCCCAGTGATTTATACGTATTTCGCTATCTATCTATCCATCTATCTATTTCGTTTCGTTGAAATTTCCGCGCGTGTTCGACAATCGACGAGGGGGATTAACGATGGCCGTGAGAGAGGAAATCGATGAGAGAGATCCGACATGTGCGACGAGTGTGATCCGCGGATCAAATTCTCGACCGCTCGCGAGAGGGACTCCCGTCCGCTCTTCTGTCCGCGATTTTCTGCCCGCGGAAGCGCCGGCTGAAAACGTTAAAACGCGAGCGTGACTTGACCAATCGACTAAACTTCTCGCGCGGAGCGCGACGTTAATATTTAAATATCACAAGCTCGGATATGCAATTTAGCCGATGGAAGCGCGACTTCAATGCAATAGAGTACAGCCTCCCCGCGGGGGAGAGGTGTAAAAGTCCGCGGCATTATTTACGCTTTCAATTCGTGCCGCTGCAGCTTCGAGAGACGTTCCCCGGAGGATTGAAAAACGACGCGCGACCTCTACGTAGGTACGACACCTGGGTTTCTTTCTCCTCCCTACGCGCGAGTAAATTACCGTTGCGCGACAACGTTCGCTGTAAATTCACCGCAAAGATAGCACACACACACACACAGATACATCGAACTAGTGTTTTTTTTTTTATTAACCATCTCCGAGCGGCAACCAGGATCGTTTGTGTCCCGGCCATCATGCTGCGTCGAAATAAAATAATTAAAATGAAATATATTGTCGACAAAACAGCTATGTGGTTCTCAAGTAGAAAGGTAAAGGAAGTTACGGTAATTTTGGAAATTTTTCCGAGCATTTCAAGAGGAGGAAAATGAAGGAGGACACGTGACCCTCGTTGCCACTCCGAAGATAGTGAAAATACATCGGCATTCGGAAGGTTAAGTAATAGTAGTTCTGTTTGGTTTTGCCGAAGAAGAATTTATTTATGAGCCGGTAAGAGAGACTAAGCACAGATGTTTCCATACCACCTTGAATATCAATATAGTTAATATTGGTGTTATTTATAGGAAGATGTTTATGTTTAATCACATGGGAGAAATGTGGAATCAATAGAGTTTCCAACAGCGGCATAATTGGAATAAATCTATCCGACGGTAAATATCATAAAAACTACTATATTGTGTATTACGTCAATAATTAAGGTATTAGTTTCAATAATATCGCTGCTGAATCAAGATGGTTTACTTACTTAATCAAAATATCAATATCAAATTACAGGGACGGGTTAACGAGGAACATCTAGGTAAATGCTACTCTGGGAATTAAAAGATCAGTTTTAGTGTGAAAGGTGACTTTTCCGCGTACGATTGCCGATTGAAAGTAACGAACGTGCGTCTAGTACACGATTAACATGTAACATGCATCTCTCTCTCTCTCTCTCTCTTCCCACAAATAATATTAATATTATATAACTATATTAATATATTCAATTGAGACACTAGGACATTCGCGTTTAGATTCTTATTTACCTATAAATATATTCTTTTTATCTTTCTTTCATACCTATAGTCAGTTTCGAACAGGGAAATAGTTTCTTCGTTAAATCAGTCTGAAATTATCGCGTATGAAATCTCGCTTTCTTTTGTGAAAAAAGTGCACCCCGGCTCCGGCGAAAAGGAAGCAGCGCAGCAGCACGCCCACGGAGGAAAAATGCCGGCGAAAATTCCAGATGAGACGAGAGGAACGTGATTATACGCGGTGTACCGTGGCGGCGAACTGAAACTTTTCAGTTATACGTGTTACGTGCCGTCGCTCCGGCCGGTCTGGAGAAGGTGAACTTTATCGCGGTTCGAAGATAGAGCCGCGAAAGCATATTGCAACACGCGGCGAATCCGTCGCTCACCTTTTCACGAGCAGGCAGGACGATGCCTTCGGCGTCGGGCGAATGGGTGTGGGCTCTTCGACGAGCGAGAGTCCTCGAGGACGAGCCATCGTCCTGGGAACCGGCATGCCAGATTTTCCAGAACATTTCGCATCCCGCGAGCGACGCGCGTGAACATAAAATTCGTGAGTGTACGTGTATGTGTGCGGGTGTGTGGATATCCGTGGCGACGACGACACAAATGTGCGACCGATGTATTTCGTCGCGTTTGTGGACGCGCGACAGCCCGGCTGGTACAATTGTCGTGAGATTTTGATACGCATGGAATCACGGATGAACGTTGTCCTCTTGTGAATTTGACTAGATGTGAGTAAGGATTGCGCAAGTGGCAGGTAGAAGGAAAAAGAGAGAAAGTGAGAGAAAGCGCGTTGTCTCTTACGCTTCTTCTTAAATCTGAGACAGATTAAGCATGACTGAATGAAAAAAACCCGTAAAGTAAACACGATATTGAGTCGGACACGCATTATTACGTACATGTCGAAGAAATGAAAATTGAACGGAAAGATATCCGTGTACATAAATGGGGATAAAAGTAAAAATAAAGCAAGCGAAGCAAGACACCTCAGCAATTTGCAACAGGCGAACCTAAGACCCGTATTTTGAATTTTCTTTTATTGATACAAGTGCCCAGAATGTGTACAGAGGAAACAAGATTTGTCGGAACAGCAAATTGTTTGTTAATGTGGTGACAGCAAAAAGATGTGTTGCGCGGAAGAAAGTAATTTTGCTGCCGCAGCGAAACGTTGTTGCGACAGCAACAAAATTTAGTTGGCATAACCAAATTATTTTGCTGTACGTATATCCAGCAAATAGCAATTAGTACTCTTAACAAATCTTTCAGCCGTCCAAACCAATTTTTTTTGCTGTCGTTATATTAACAATTTGCTGTTTTAACGAAACTTGATTTTTCCGTGTGGCTTTTCAAGCCAATTAGGTAGTTTCTAAACCACTTTTAGAGGCATTTTATCAATAAAAGAGAATCCAGAATATGGGCATAATGGTCAGTAACAAAAAAATTGCAACCTTTTTCCCGATGAGTTTCGCAATGTATCTCGTATCCAATAGGAAAATATATCTCTCCTGAGAATTACGGGAACAAATGATGTTGCTGTTGTAATGAAACCATCGTTGCTAATGAATATTCGTTGCGACAGCGATAAAATTTAGTTGGTACAACCAAATTAGCGAATTATTCGTAATCAAAGTAGAAACAGTTTGTCACTAGAATAGAAAGATAATGTCGAGTGAATTTATTCTTAGGACACGTTAATTAGTCGTTCGAACAAAATAGCGTTTTCCTACATTCACTAATTTTTCCCCACAGCAAAACCATTTGTAGATTCAGCAAAATAATCCAGCGAATGACAATTGATACCCTTGACAAATCGTTCCGCTGTCCACATAATAACTGATAAATTTTGCTGCGGCGGCATAAAATTTGCTGCAAATTATTTTTCTCCGTGGTGCTGAAAAACAAATTCTCCTATTGGACACGTGACGCGTTCCGAAACTTATAAACAAAAGTGTCGCCGCCTTTTTGTGACTGACTATACACGATTAGTTCCAGCCATAGGTGAGTCAAAAATATCAGGCGTAAATAAGCGATCAGCGGTGGCAGCCGGAAATAAACCAGGAAGAAAGAACACGACATAATAATATAGATTAGGATTCCCCTTCTCTCTCTCTCTCTCTCTCCTTTAGGGAGAAAGAAACGGGAAGAGAGACCATCGGGGCGCCGGTGATCAAGCCGGAGCGAGCATTTATCCGCGTATCACGCGATCCGCGCGAGATCCGGCGCGAATTTAACGGAGAAGACATATTCGCGGAATGGGAAACGGTCGTGAAGAATGGTAATGAGATTATAGGTCGACCGTGCCGTATCGTAACTCAGTAACGTTAGACGGCGATGTGCGCCGCACGTGGAGCAAGAAAGAAAGAAAGAAAGAAAGAAAGAGAAAGAAAGAAGGGAAAAGAAAGACCGGCACATATGAGAGGAGCGGCTGGAGGAGGGAGCCCGCTGCAAAGGTGAAGATGATATTTGCCTGAATATATATATATATATATATAGTTAACGGGAGCAACGAGCGAGCGAGCGAGCGATGCGCGAATACCGTATATAATTTGAACGTAACGGATATGCGCGCACGACGGCACACGCCAACGGGAAACTGTAACGAAGGCGTCAAGTCTCGCTCAAGCATCAGGCGGGTATGTGGCGGCTATCATGCGCGTTGTCTATTCAGATGCAAATCAATGCTCGCAGGTCGCATCGATTGCGCGAGGGCGTGCGGTCCCCCCGTACGCGCGATGCGCTGAATAGCGCCGCGCGACGTAATTAGTCTAATGGATCGGCGGATTTCGGGCGAACTTCTTCGGGAGTGTGGGACTCTCGACGTCGCGAGGATCTCTCTCTCTCTCTCTCTCTTTCTCGTCGAGCCGTCGGGTTATCGCAGAGGAATTTCCGGTGCCACGTGAATCTCACGAGAAGCCGGGAGGCCTTAATTAAATCGCTGAAAAACAGCCGGTTCTCCAGATATCTGTTAATTCGGAACGAGGAGGATCTTCTCTCAGCTTCTCAGCTTCGTGAATATAATCGGCGAGACTCTCTTCGTGTATCTTGGGACGTTATGATTTAGTCGAGCCGCGCGGGTGTGTGTGTGTGTGCGCGCCACTTGTTAATTTCGCTAAAGAAGATCGTTGACGCCGAGTGCTCGGAAGCTTGCGCAGGAACACGGCAAAGTAACGCGATTTATCGCAGGTGGTGATTATAATGTTGCGCAATTATGAAATATCCGCTCGCACGCCGGAAATAAAGAAGGTTGAGCAAGCTTATCGAATCCCGTCGGTGCTCGCGTGGATAACGTATCGCGCGCGTGCGAACGTTCACGCGAGGCATGTGTACGAAGGACTGCGCGTTATCGTCGTACGCTTTATTGCAGCGGCAACGAAGATTTCGCCGATTCAAGAAACTCGCATCTTCTTCTTCACTCAACGCCGCGTCGGTTCATTCGCGCGATTAACCGTGCTTTATCTTCGCCGACGCAGCGCATATCTCCAAGTTCCGTAAAAATTTACGGCCTGAAAATATAATTATCGACACCCGGATATGTGTTGAATTAAGTCAGATGAAATTCCACATCTGCGATGATTACGGGTGTTGTAATACTACTGATGTATAATACTGGTATTGATATTTTTCTCTCAATATCAGGTATTTTTGTATTGTACTTTCGTATCGATATTAGTACTATCTTGTTTTGGTATCTTATCGATATATTTTTTCTTAACTTTTTACTCAGCCGATCTTCAAGATATTAGATATTTTTGTCTTATGAAAAATTATGTTATTAAAAGCATCCGGACATTTTTACACGAGGAGCTAATCATGAGTGTCCTTTTGTGCGTACATTGTTTCATTTCCGTGTACAATGCAATAACTTTTTCTCGCTTCTGACACCGACAAACAAGGGGCGATGACAGCGAGGATACAGAAGTCTTAACATATCCTTTTTAAAGTTTCTAAATTACAAACCGGAGGTAATCTAATGCGGAAACTGTAGAAATATCTTTATACCATAATAGATTATTATACGTAGAAGTATGGAACTCTTAAAAGTATCTTGCAAGATAAATACCTCCCAGGTTTTTATATTTCCTCCACTTTTCAGTTTCTTTAAGTTTTGATAAAGTTTGATAGTATCGGTATTGGTATTTTTTCTTGTGATACTAATATCATTAATTGTACCGATACTTTCGATTAGATATCCGTTTCAATATTATTATCGATATTTTAATGATATCATATTCCTAGCAGCGGTAATTAGTAACGACAAGAAGAGCAATAATGACAAATAACAAGAACAATGTGTATCTAATCTAAAAGTAAAACATGATGTTATGATGTGTGACACATGTGACGAAAAATAAGAACAATCATGAAATGCACGAGAAATATGTTGTGTGTACGTATTATTTTCTCTCTATGCACAGAAAGAAAGATTTCTTTGAATTTAATAGAATTTCTTTAACTGAAACTTGTCAACAAATTTGTCTTTTGGAATAGAACATACAAACGAATGTTAGATTCAATAAACGGGATTCCTTGGTTTCTCAGACAATAAATACCTTTCTTTATGTCAAAAAACACATTTCCTTTGTATATTCGTCTAAACGTTACAATGATGGTCACAAGCAATTTCTTTTTATTGAAAATGAAATATTTCCCCCTTCAAATTATATTGTTTTTCCTATCAAGCAACACGTTTATTTCATCGAAATAACAACATTTTCATTCCAACAAAATGATATTTGATACTAAAATATGTTATTTATATTAAACAAGGTCCAAGACAAACAAACACATATACCAAATAAGAACCTTTTTCACCGTGTATAGAATTTTTCCACGGAGTTCCAAGTGGAACTCCGCAACTTTGTTGGACGCGCTTTAATCGTAAACTCCCGGTCCGCTTGAAACTTCTTCCTTATCTCATCAATTCTCGTTACAGCCGAATGTCGCGGCGGTGGACCGTAGTGGCGCATGGCTAGATAAAAGTTTCGCCCAGCAGGAACCGGGCGGCATGGGTCTGCCGCGTTTCTCCCTGAAGAGATACTTTTTCTACGTGCTATGTCTGACGGGTACGCTGTTGGTTCTACTGAACCTGCTGCAGGACGAGATATGGCACAGCATGCGACCGCATCCCAGCCAGCCGCAGTCCGTTCGAACTGCCGGCGATGGGCCGAAGGTACGTGCACCCTTTAATTGTTAATTAACCCGACTAAATAATAACGAGCGGTTACCATCTGACCGCGCGTTTCCACGAAAGATGCGAAACACTCCGGTGCGAGTCACCACGAGTCCGCTCGTCTATTCGCGCCTGCGGTCATTTCCGCTGCACCGGATGTTGCAATTGCCGAGCAACACCCGAGTCGAAATTTTGCCTCCGCATTAAGCCTGCGAATACCGTCGATGATACTTGAAGGTCGACGTACACGGGGAAAATATTGTAGTAAAAATTACTACACAAATTTGTAATGCTGGTTATATCGAAATTATTGTGCGTTGTGATCTTTAATGATGTGATACACGGAAGAAAATTAGTCTTACAAATCAATGATCGATATTCTCACATATAAGCAAGAATATTATGATCATGATCCTCTTGGAGAATTTTTAGTCTTTTGATTTGATTGAATCTGTATTGATGCAAGTATTACTTGGATTCAATTCGAGAGTAAAAATCTTGTAAGAATATTATTATATTGTTGTTTATATATGAGAATATTTATCATTGATTTATAGGACTATTTTTGTCTGTGTATATATGACACACGTTACTAAAGATTACAACACCTGTTATAATTTTAATGATAATTCCGCTATGGTTGATCGTTGCAAAATTTTACGGCAATTTTCACTATATTTTCTTCGTGTAGTATATTTTCTCAAATTCGATTTACGACCTTACAAATAATTATCAGTTCTATATTATATAAAAATTTATCAGGTAAAGAGATTAACTAGAATTTACTTAAGATTAACTCCTTAGTAGCTTAATTAGTATTTTTTAATTTAACATTTATCAGATAAAGTTCCGTATCAATGGAGAATCTCGAGATACGATGCAAATGTACAAGCTGTTATCCTATCACGATGCTACACACGGTTGTACTAATCGCCACTTTTTACTCCACGTTAAGGCACTTGTTCGAGAATTACATCTAACGTTCGATTATATTCTATATTCTACCTGCGTAAAATCTCCAAGAGCAACGTATGAAACTCCTAACGTTAGAAATCAATGCGAATTCGCGGCATGCGCTATATTATAAAACAGCTCTTTGTGAGCGTTGGATTGAACGTTCACCATTACACGTTGACGCCCACCGACGCGCAGCCAAGCCCGATGACGTCCATCAGGTTCACCAGGTCCATCTTGCATCGTCGTCCCACGTTGCTTGCACACACTTTACACTTCTCACGGGACGCGGTCGATATTTACATTTAGCCGGCGATATTTCTATTTACTAACGAGCACTCCGACGGTATTAACGAAACATTTTTATTTGCCCCGACGCGAAAAATATACGTCGAATTTCGGCCGGCGGAAATTAAAAGCGAAATTTGCGAATTTATTTAACGGTGGTTTATCGCGGTAGAGTCCACGTATGAATTAAAAGTCCGCAGCGATCGCAAAATTCAAAAATCCACACGACCGAGATAACCTCAAGCCCGGCGTGCGCATTTATTGCGCAATATTTACTATTCGCGTATAAAGTCCAGTATTTCGCGAAACAGCCGTCGATCCCGTAAATACGAAAAATCGCGATCTGTAAGTCGCCGCCGTCGGCGACTCTGCGATGACGTTTTGACGCCGACGTGGCGCTGATCGCGCGTAAAAGATTCGATTAAGAAAGATATCAATCGGAATCACCGAGGACTTGCGGCGCGACCAACATATAAAAAAATCGCTGATCGCGGAGGCCGATCGCGAGATCCATCGACGCGGTGCGAAATAATCGTAAACGGCGTGAGATTCTCACGCACGACAGCTTCGTGAATTTGTCGAGGCTCACTTCCTCGGTATCTCGGCGAAGTGAATTTCGCGGAATCCGTCGTCGTGCGGGAAACGTAATCGCGGCGTGTATAAATACGCGTGTGAAACCGAAATTGATAATAATTGATAACCGGAGCGATCGCGAAATTGAAAAATCCACGCGAGCGAGGCAGCCTCTAGCTCAACGTGGCGCAAGTTTTGCGCGCGTCATGTACTATTCGAAATAATCAACGGATCGTACTGAATACATAATACTGGGAAATAATTTTATCGTTTATATCGGAGATACATAAAAGTGAAACCAGACGGAGTATCACATTCACATATCCGCGAAAATATCATTGCCGAAGAATTCGAAAAATCGAGAGAAAATTACTCGGCTTTTCAAATCTGTTACACGTAACGTTTGATAAAGTGATTCTCTCATTATTTCAAGCAATATATTTTGTTTGACATCACGCATACATGTAGAATCCGATATGCAAAAATCTACGAGCAATTCGCATTGATTATCACGATATCTCTTATCGGAATCTCACATCACCTTGTGAACCCGTCACCTAAAATTTCTTTTCGCTTCTCACTCACCGAAACGACTTGCAGCCAGGGCCGGCCACGTTCCGCTTCGGATCTGGATCAAAGAATAAATTCGCCGATTAGATTTACGAATTCGACTTCACGAACGAGCGAGTGAGAGTAGATTACCATCCGCGATCGTAATTTAAGTTATAACCGGCAATTGTGCCTCGGCGTGAGATCGCAAGATGTTAAACGAAGAGAGGAACACAAAGAGGAAACTTATATAACTTTACCTTCGAGCCGACCCTGCTCGAGCCGGATCTTTCGGTTCGGCATGCGCGTCCGCCGGAAATGCAGCTACCTCCGCGATGTGACCGCAAGATCTTCCTTTGGTCTGCAAAAAAATAGAATTTCCCTGATTAATAAGTAGCGATAAAAAGTTTCCCGGCGAAACGAGGACACGAAAGTATTCGAGATACGGAGGTATCAAGAATGTTAGATGCGACTGTCTGTGTGTATTTCTATCTTAAATATAATAAAAAGGAAACGTGGTGGTTGCCTTTTAAGTACTCTTTAAATACTCCGACAGCTCACGATGTGACTCCTCAGTATTATAATCGCACTGGCGTAGCATCGCGATCTGTCTCACGCGCGCTTCGATCAATTTAAAATAATCGGGAATACCGCGTGACGTCATCCGATGTGCTCGCTCGTGCGTCAACACTGTTATGATCTCGTGTACGAAAGCTACCTGTGTGTGTGTTGTTGTTCCGAAGGTCGAGGGACCTTCGGAAGGACAGCACGCTTGAGTACGTGGAAACACCGTTACACGGAAAAAAACGGAAAGCAAACGGCTCTAGTGACGTCAAATAAAAAATGGATAAATCGATACACAAATTTCAGTGGACCATTTTTAACACGAAAATTTTCACCGTGTATTGATCGCACTATAATATTCATAGTGTTATTAACATAGTATTATTGACTGTTACACGGCTCGTAATAATTATTTCACGTATTTTAAGTTATATTAAAATATTTTACGACATATTATAACCTTTAATTATTTAATACGCCTTCCGTTGATATTTATCACGTTTGTGTGTATAATATATTACTAATTATATATATATATATATATATATATATTAGGATCATGAGATATCGCACATTAATGAGATCGCAAAGAATTAAATAAAGAGGCGTTAACAATGAATTGAATAAACGGGGAATTTATTAATTTATCTTCGAAACACGCCCGACCGGATGAGAATTTTTCGATGCATGGGAAAAACACGACTCGTGAAATTGATTTTCTGTTATCTGCGACAATGAACCGTGCGACGGTAAATCGCGAAATAAATAACGTCCACATTGCGCGCATATTTATATTTCCCGTTTTAAGTCAAAACGTGTACATCTGATATATTAAATATCGAAAAATAATACTGATCACGTACGTTATATCGCTTCGTAAATATGTTGGCTCCTCCTTCGGGAATTAATATATTTAATTTAATATTTTTTAGCAACGTTAATTACGTAACGTATTATAATTCAAACCGTCTGACTCTCGACAGACATTTCAGTGTCGTAACTGAAATTCAAAATAAAAAAGCTCACAAGCTGCAAAGATGTGCACGGAATAATTACTCGTTCGCGTAACCGATTTTCTGTTATTCGGAGGTCGGACGAACATTCGATTGTAAAACCGTGTCTATTTTCGTACCTGTGTCTCATTTTAAATGTTAATTTTCAACGTCACTTATCTATTTAGTACATTTCGTGCAAGTTAAACGGTTTAAACGGTGAATTTTCTTCATTGTAATAACATTAGTAGTTACAAGTTACAGGGTTGTACCTCGAGATTCCCCATTAGCATCAAAGGTCGACATTTTTTGCAGATTTTGTAGGCTTTTTTACGTAAAAACGAAAATTTCGACTCGGTCAGGTCGATATTACATGGGAGGGGGGGGGGG